ATTCTATTCTATTCTATTCTATTCTATTCTATTCTATTCCATTCCATTCCATTCCATTCCATTCCATTCTTCAAATCCGTTCCAATCCAATGATCTATTCTATTGAGCTTGCAAAAGGCAAATTATTTCTACCTAGGTGACGACATGCTTCCTTGCAATGAAGACTGTAACCCAGCTGAGCGATTATCTGGAAGTCTTCTGCTAAGTACCCTATTTCTGAATAGGGATCTGGAGAGTCGGACTCATGGGGAATGTGGGCAGGTGAGGGCTAAGGTGATAAATGGGCTGTCATACCTGTCGGCGCCTGTGGGAAAGTGGGTGCTGAAGTCAGAGGCAGGTTGTGGCTCATGAATGCGAGACCAACACACGAGCCTTTGCAAACCACCATGCTGCATGGAATACATTTTTGAAAATTGCTGATTTAACTCTTTCAGATAAATTCTCCTTGGACATTTCCAAATGGTGTTTATAAAATGTGTACAATCGCCAAATGCATTGATTTTTTTTTTTTAAAAAAGGGAAAATTACCTAGCAGATTAAGCCTCCATAAAAGCAAGGAATGACACCTAATTTCCATTTGTGCTCCCAATGAAAGATGGCAACCTATAAAACTACAGTTATTTCTGCGTGCTTGCAGAAGAGAGAAAAATATTTTTTTTTAAAGAAAATGTGCAAAAAAAATAAAAAAGCAAACTCCACCATCACTGCCATCCCAGCAATTTGAGAAAATAAGGGAGGGGTTGCAATTAACTGCCTAACACAGTCCTGTGTATTTTATGGCCCTTTGGCCACATCCTGCCTTTTGGCTGTCCCTCTACGGCATAGGTGAGGTCAGTTGGAAATTAGAAATCAAATGTAAATAAGCATATATGCCATGCATGTAATACAGTGCAATTGCTTTTATTACAAAGGTGACTGCTGAATGGTTGGAAGGGACCTTGGAGGTCTTCTAGTCCAGCCCCTTGCTCAATCTGGAGACCCTATACCATTTCAGACAAATGGCTGTCCAGTCTCTTCTTAAATAGCCACCAGTGACAGAGCGCCCATGACTTCTGGCCCAAAGTCACCCAGTCGGTTTTTGGCTCAAAATCATCCAGCTGGCTTTCATGTGTAAGGTGGGACTAGAATTCACTATCTCTTGGTCAGTGGTGGGATTCAAATTTTTTTTACTACCGGTTCTGTGGGCCTGGCTTGGTGGGGTAAGGATGCTGCAAAATCCCCCTTCCCTCCCCACCCAACTAACCTGCTTTCCAGCTCCGTTCTCCTGTGCAGGGCAACCAAAGAAGACCCAGCCGATCAGCTGGGACTCAAGGGGAGTCAGAGAAGAGATGGGTTAGAGCCGTGATGGCGAACCTATGGCACGTGTGCCACAGGTGGCACGCAGAACCATTTGTGCCAGCACATGAGCTTCAGGCAAACTTACCTCACTGAGCATGCGCGCGCCTCAAAGTTGATTTTTGGCCGCTTTGAGGCCTTTTTTGGCCTCCCAGAGGGTTCAGGAAGGCCTCTGTAGGCTGAAAACTAAGCCTGTTTCGTCACTTCCTGTTTTTCCGGGAATACTGGAAGCGACAAAACGGGCCTAGTTTTTCGGCCTGAAAAGCCTGTCGAAACCTTCCTGAAGCCTCTGGGAGGCCAAAAAAGGCCTCAAACCGGCCAAAAATCAACTGTGAGGTGCAGTGCAGTTAAGGTGGCAGGGGCGGAGTGGGGGGATTGCACGCGCATGCGTAGGGGGTGTGGAGGATGCGCATTGTCTTCTGGATGCTGGCACGCGAGCGCAAGCGTGCACAATTTTTGACACAGGAGCCCAAAAAGGTTAGCCGCCACTGGGTTAGAGGTAGTATTTGCTGGTTCTCCGAACTACTCAGAACCAGCTGAATACCACCTCTGCTCCTGGTTTCTAAGCCTGGTGGCTTTCCCCATTAGGGACCAAACAACTTTTTCCTTGTCTCCTCCCTCTGCTGTTTTTTTACCTCTCCTCTCT